CTGCCCTCCAGGGCTTATCCCTGCCCTCCAGGGCTTATCCCTGCCCTCCAGGGCTTATCCCTGCCCCCAGGGCTTATCCCTGCCCCCAGGGCTTACCTCCTGCACCTGATCGATGTCCCCACCTCTTCTGATGATTTTGCTGTTGTGGTGTAGAGCAGGAGTAGCGAACGTGAAGTATGTGATTGTACAGGGGGTGGTGGCTCCTTTGGCTTCTGCAGTCATGTGTAAGGACAGCAAGCTGGAGCTGGCTATGGAGTCGTTGGAGTCGAGTTCCGAGCAGATAAGTGACGGGCAGAAGCCTTTGCTTGAATGGTTGCTGGGTTGGTGGTTGATGCAGGCACGAAAGCTGGCCTCGGTCGGAGTGTGTGTGACTCCGCCTGTGGACGTGGAGGCGGGCAGCACGACGAGGTATTCATCGGACGCGTCGGAGGACTTTGCGGCGTTCAACTGCTCCACTGACGTCGGAACCCCGGACCTCCTCGACCTCCACGAGCGGCTCCCCTTCGTGGAAGTGTGGACAACGGACTGTCGACGCGTGGGGTACATCACCGATCCCACTCTGGCCATCAGGGTCCAGAAGTTTGTGATTCAAGCCTTTCCCGACCTTTACGTGTCTCCCGTCGACTATGTCATACTCACCATGGACGACGTCTCTAACGACGTCTCTAACGACGTCTCTAACGACGTCTCTAACGACGTCTCTGACGACGTCACCCACCACGTAACCCCGTCCACGGAGTCAGAGGCTGGGATGCCGTCGGGGACGGTTTCGGCCGACTCGCCGAATCCCATGCGGCAGCCCTCCAAGCTGCTGACCGCTTCTTCCGCTGGCGGCCTGGCCCTGTCCGTGCTTTACGACACCAAGTCCCTGATCAGCACCGTCTCGGAAGACCGAGGCGGGGGCTTTGTGCCACTGGGAGGTCATAACAACTGCTGGGTCTACTCGCCCCGTCTTCCAGGTTCTCAGGTCCTCATTAAACGCTGCTTTATCAACGAAGCCGTTTTCTACGCTGCTATGACCAGTCTCACAGGTCTCAAACTCGCAGACCAGAAGGTGGCAGTGCAGCTCGCTGACTTGGAGCTCGCTGACCTGGAGCTCGCTAACCATCCACACAATAAGGTACCACAGGTGGACGGGAAAGTAGACGACAACAAAGTGGACTGCAGGCAGCCCGACGGTGACCTGACAAACAGTCATGCAGGCCAGTCGGGTTCCAGCTCCTTGGTCCCTGGTCCTGTACCCTATGGTCCTGTACACTCTGGTCTTCTTCCTTCCGGTCTTTTTCCTTCAGGTCCACTGTCTTCTGCAGATGTCATGAAATGGTTCATGTTGGGCTATAATCGGACGGCGAAACAATGGCATGGCGTGTGTTGCGGTACGGACATGGAAATGTGGCTCCGTCGGTTCGGTTTGGCAACTGCTCAACGATGGGCCAAAGAGCTTACGCAGCTGCTTCCCTTTATATATAGCGTCAGTACCGACGCACAACAGGGTTATGTCGAAATGCAGAACGTCACGTGGATTGACCCCACCAGTCACAGTCCTCGTGACCCGTATTGCGACATGGATCTGAAGATCGGGACACGACTGCACGGGCTGGACGCCGACGGACCCAAACGGCTTCGCATGACACAAAAAGCACTTACCACAACCTCGGGGACAACTGGGCTCTGTATCATTGCCTACAAATGTTACGATGGGAAGACTATGCGCACACTGACAAGACCAGAGAGCAGGGCTCTTACCTTACCCCACCAGCTTCGACAGCGTAATCCCACCGCCCTATCCCCGTCACATGGAGTCCCGTTCCGTTCCCTGGAGCCCCGTTCCGTTCCCTGGAGCCCCGTTACGTTCCCTGGAGTCCCGTTCCGTTCCCTGGCGTCCCGTTCCGTTCCCTGGCGTCCCGTTCCGTTCCCTGGCGTCATTTATTCATTTCAGATATGGACATCTTTTTCTCCACGGTCAGCGTGGAGATTTTGAGCGAGCTGTTGCAACAGGTGGAGACGATGTTGCGATTATTCAATGAACAGACCCTGTGCCATTTCAATGGATCATCTCTGTTGATATCAATTCGGAAAAGGAGCGGTTGTATAAAACTGATCGATTTTGCGCACACAAGTTTGTTCCATGATAGTATCGACACTAGTACCATTACCGGCCTGCGATACTTTAGGGAGCTGCTCCG